TGGGCGATTTTCCCAAAAGGAGAAAGAAGAGTTTTCCTAGCAGATCACACTGCTACACTGATCAAAAACTTACAGAGAGTAACTCAGTGACACCAGTAATGCAAAAGTGTACCTATTCTCCTAAATCCTAGGTGACAACGGAACTTGATTTTTTTTCCTCCCTGGCTAAAGCAATCACTATCTTTGGAGACAAAAAAAAAACGTGTTTCTTAACTCCACCGACTACCTACAGGGAGCAACGGGGCTCTGAGCTCCTTCAGACCTCACTCTCCTGACCGTGAATCCAAGCGCGTGCCAGAGAACCTACTGCCCAGGCCTGCCGGCCGAGTGCCCTCCTCCCTCGCCTCCCACCGACGGATCGTGACGGATCGTGACGGGGGTATTAGAAAACACCCCACAGACGGACAGATCTAGGTTCAGCGTGCCTCGTTTCCCTCGGGGAGGCTTCAGAGCGGACAGGAAACCCTAGCAGAAGACCTGTGGGGGCAAGCGTGACTCTGAATGGCCAACCCCACGTGGTCGCCCGGCCCCAGCACCTGCAAGCTGTGTTCTCGTTTCAAATTTGCCTCTTGACTCGCGCTAGCTGATAAAGGAAGTCTACCACGTTAATCCTTACAAAAGGGCTACCGCATTCCCCTATGTATCATGTTTTTAACTGCCATGGGACCAGTTTTCAGGTGAGACGCATGAAGTCACAGGGAAGTGACTCACAAACACGCCTCCTCACCCGGCCCCCAATTTTAGGAAAGACTCAAGTAACAAGCCTCCGTTTTTAAGGTCCAGCTAATGTTCTCAATTTGCTTCAAACTTTGGGGCAAATATAGACAGGAACACAGTCGATGAAGTAAAGCTGGAATGATGAAAAGGCTCATCTTAGCGTCCTCTAACCTCACTGCTGGGACCCATCCCCGGGCTGGCCTCGTTCCCACCGGCAGCCGGCAGCCAGGCAGGACGGCTCTCCGCCCCCGGACACCTCCCCTTTCCCAGAGGTGCCAGCGTCCACGTTGGCCCTCGGAAGGGCCAGCTGGGAGAAGCAGAGTCGGTACCCGACCGGCACAGGCCTGGGAGACCAAGCTTGTGTGAGCCCCCACGGCTCGTCGTTTCCAAGCAGCCAAAACCGGCTCATCTCCTGAGACGTGAAACAGAGTCGAGGCCAGCCAGCGAGGCCCCGAGCCTGGAAAAGTGGAGCACACAGCAGAGAAGACCCAAGCTGCTTTCCAGGCCCGGCTTTTCTGTGACCTTGCTGTGCGAGCTCAGGCCCGAAACGGAAACGCTGCACCCCCCTCCCATCTGAAAGCTGGGCTGAGCCAGCTCTTCCTGCTCTCAGGCCACCTGTATCTGTTCCCCCGTCCTCTCCTGAGCTCGGCATTACACCTCGGGCTTCTGCTCTTAACTCAGTTGATGGGGTGCACTTTCTGGCTATTCCGGGCTGGAAGGAAGCAGAACACTGGCCCCTGCTCGCCTGTAGGAAGGCGTCTGGGGGGCAAGGGGCGGGGACGGGCGGCGAAGCTGCGTGTCACTACCTGGGGGGACCAGCGCGGGGAGGGCTCGCTCCTCAAGGGTTCGTGAGAGCCGGGCTAAGCAGGGCATCAGGAGTCCTGGCGAGAGAGCACACTGAGACGGGCGGCTGACGGCTGGCTGGGCAAACGGTCCAGGGTGGGGGCGCCTGGGGGGCTCAGTCGGTTAAGAGTCCGACTTCAGCTCAGGTCACGATCTCACGGGTACGTGGGTTCGAGCCCCGCGTCGGGCTCTGTGCGGACAGCTCAGAGCCTGGAGCCTGCTTCGGATTCTGTGTCTCCCTCTCTCTCTGCTCCTCCCCTGCTCACACACTCTCTCAAGAATAAATATTTTTTAAAAGTCCAAGTAGGGGCTAGATTGGTGGCGAGCCGGTTAGCGTCCAACTTCAGCCAGGTCACGATCTCATGGGTTCGGTGAGTTGCAGGCCCCTGTCAAGGCTCTGAGGCTGATATGGTCAGAGCCTGGAGCCTGTTCCGATTCTGTGTCTCCCTCTCTCTCTGCCCCTCCCTCGTTCATGCTCTGTCTCTCTCTGTCCCAAAAATAAACGTTGAAAAAAAAAAGTCCGTGGTAACTTTCATGCCTGGTGACATAACACACTATCTGAGCAAGTACAAAGTAGCCTCTTCAGCCAAATGATCCAAACGGAAGGCGGAGGGTAAGACCAAGAAGTCAGCCGGCTTCCTCAGGGGCTCCTGTGCCAGGGGCCGCTGCAGCTACAAAAACACCCAAAAATACGTGAGGGTCTCCTCCTGAAGCCTGCAGCTTACACGGCCCTTTCACGGACCTGGCCCATGCTCTCCTGGACCCAGAGGTGGCAACATCTGGTAAATGACAGACACATGGGTTTCCTGCAGCCAGCGCCCCCCCACCCCCCAGTCATCACTGACCAACAGTCTGCAGGGGATCATCCCAGGGGCGTCTAGCTGGAAGGGAAGTGAGAAATCATCTGGGAGCCAGGGGCCAGGATTCAGGGCTCAGGGACTCATCCGTGCCTTAACTGCATTAGCTCTACTTCTGTTTTCCATCTGAGGCTCCTGCATGAATACAGAGACCTGCTAGGTCCTTAAACCTCTGATCGGATCCAATCCTTGCAGAGATGGTTGGGATAGAAGCTGGGAGTAGAGACGAGTTCTCTCCGCAACTGCTCGGCCAGCGCACCCAGGCCCAGCACACCCAGCACCCCGAGGGTCTCTCGGTGAGTCCGCTTACAACACAATCTCAGAACCGACTAACAGGATATTTCTGCCCCGTACTAACAGAAGAGATTTTTACAAAGGTATCAGACTTATTCATGTTTCTTATTTGCTTACAAATTGGATTCACTTTTCATTCACTTACAGTTTTAAGACTACAGACTATCTGGTTTATTTTCACTCATCATTACAAGCATTAGGGTTCAGAACCTGACACATTCATACAGCCGCCCCAGTCTCCCCGTCCCTCAAATCCAGTCACTTTGTGTCTTTGCTCCCAAACACCCGGCATCTTCTCTCACTTGCCAACATCAACCTGAGGGATGAGGAGAGAAGCCCAGAGCCAAGTGACATCCAGCCCCAGAACACGGACACATGTCCTAAAAGCAACACATCCAGAGGGCCGGCTCCTGGATCCACCACCCTGTCCCTCCCTCCTCCCTCTTCCCAGACCACCATGTGCAGCCCCAGGCCTTCCTGGAAACTCCTGGAAATCACAGCTATGAGCAGAGACCGGCACCAAGAACCAGCATGAGAACACCTGCATCAGACACCTCCTCGGGAGACCGCCCAGCTTTTCTTTGCACCGCCCCCCCCCCCACCCCCACACACACACAGCTGCCATCTGTCTGCACACCTCGAGTCAGAACCCAAGGGACATTTCTGAACCGGGCTTTGCAACTCTGGTCTTCTCTCCCAGGCTGACAGAAACCCAATAAAGCAACCTCAATCCGTTTTGTTTTGGTTTTTTCTGTGAAATTTATTGTTTCCACATTAAAAGATTTTTTTGAGGGGAAGTATTTTCTTTTAACCACATGATGATCCTATGCAGCTGCCCAGAGTAGGACACCATCGTAAGTCATTAACATGCCGTGTGAGTTCTGAATAAATAAAAGCTACAAAGCCCAAGTTATATACAAATATCTTAGGCGATAATGTTTACAAACCTATGTACAATAAAACAAATGTAAACAGTAAATGCAGCATGAGAGTAATCAAGATGATCGGGAGCAACCACTTACGGCCAGTCTGCCCACCAGAAGCCCCCTGAATGGGGCCGCTCGACGCTTCCTAACACAAGTGGACAGGCCCTCAGAGGACAAAACAAAACGCCCTGAAAGATGTCGCTTAACTGAAGGACCAGAGAGCTGGCAAGGAGACTGCCCCCGCCCCTCACCCCGAGTCTGAGGCACACGGATGAGGAGCAGATGGTGCCCCGGCCCCAGAGGCTCCCGCTAGCTGGGGTCCAGACGGGCATTTCGCTGCTCTGGGAGGCAAGTCTATGGAATGATAACCGCTAAAGTAAAATCAGAAGGTGCAGAAAATGTTCCCTAATTCAGTGACCTTCCCGACCCCCGACCAGCAGCAGGTCACACGGTGGGGAGTGGAGCTGGAGAACACGCGATCGATCGTGAGCACTGAAGAAGCGTGGGCGGGAGCTGGCGGGAGCTGGGGGGGGAGGGGCAGGGGCACGTGTTGACCTGATCTGGGGGAGACCTTCTAGAAGGTCGGCAATGTCTGAAACACAACTAAACCCTATCCGTACAGCTGGGTGGGAGCTATGGGGCAGGCGTGATGATGATGGGTACTTCTGCATCCAGTGACCAAGGAGTACACGGACGTGCCACCTTGTGACCCACAAAAGTGCAATCATGTGAGACCAACGGCACCACGGCGAGAAGAGAAAATAGCCAGTATTGATATCGCGCAGAGTCCTGGGGCCAGGCAGGGCCCAGCAGCCGCCGCCGCATGCAGCCTGCCCTCTGCCAGCCGTGGGGAGGCAGACGCAGGGGCCCAGGCTGGGCCCAGGCACCGAGGGACGAGGCGTGGGTGTCCTGGGCTGTTGGAGGAGGGCAGGCGCCCCCACCCGGAGGCCGGGCACTCACACACTGAGAGGCAGCATACCCGGTGCTGACGACGGGCGCGAGGAGCCCAGACCAGGAGGAGGAGGCGCTGGGTCAAAGCCGTTTACTGCCCTGTGGGGGTGACCAGAGCACAGAGGGGAAGGGAAGGGAGGGAAGGGAAGGGGAGAGAGAGACACTGTCATTTAAAATCACTCGACACCCGACAAGAAATGCACATGCCCTCTACGGGCACTCCCCTTCCGGCCCACAGCAGGATCGTGGGGCCCGGGGAGAGAGGCTGCCGGGAAGGCGCCAGCCGGTCAGAGCCTTGAGAACTCGGGGGTGCCGGAGCGAGATTACATGCTCCCCGCTCGGCAACTCCATCCTGCCAGCCACAGCCCTGACCTCTCCCCTGCGGAGCTGGGCTGAGTGTCTGCCAACGGGGAAGTCGCTAAATAAATGATGGTGCAACTCAACAATGAATTCTATACGACCATTAAAAACACATGCCACAGCCTTAATAGCACGGGGAAGTACTCAGAATGTAATTAACACTAGGTAGAATGAGCAGTTACCGACCTGTATGTGTTCAACGACGTGAAGGAAAAAAGTAGTTAGGTGCTAGATTCTAAACTGCAACCTCTTATATAAATGGACGTTATTTCCAGGCAGCTACATCTAGAATGTGTTAGAATGTGCAGGGAGGGGGACGCTACACATATATGCATATAAAATCGTATATGTTACGGAAAGAAAATTTAACGAGTTACTTTTCCTCCATCTGGGTAGCAGGTAAATTTTGTTTAATACTTTATACTTTTTCTTTGTTTTCCCAATCTCCTACACTACACGTGACTATCTTAACAAGACGGAGGAAGAAGTAACTGTTAAATTGTTTCCCAAGCAGAGCCAGACAGGGGAGGCTTCTCTGCAGAGGCCTGAGTGCCGTGCCCAGCCCAGCCCAGCCCCCAGAGCCTGCAGCCAGCACCCGGCACCCAGGCCCAGAAGGTGCAGAGCGCCCCAGCCCCGCCCAGCGGCCCCACAGCCACAGGAAGCAGCCAGCAAAGGAGCACAGGGCTGGAACCTCTCTCAGGAAGCCACGCAGCCCTTCCATACTGAACACACTCCCGGGGAATCCGCCCCACTAGCGATCTGAGAGGTGCAGCCAAGCGCGGGGCCTGCACCGTGCCACGCGTGCCATCGCTGTCCCCCGCCCTCCCTGCCACCACCTGCTCATCACAGGGGTCCGGGGAGTTGAACACGGGCTCAAGGAGAGAGGTTCTCTTCAAAGGAATGAGAACAGACACACACACCCTACAGGTTCATCGTTTCATACACTGAAGAAGCAGCTCGGAGGAACGGGCATGCACAGAGACGACAAATGACCCTGACCGCTCTGAAGAAAGAGTTAACATCTGAACTCTGAAGTAACCAAGCTCAGAGCAGAGATGCTGCCTTTGGAATCAAGCCGGGGGTACACTCAGACCCAGAGCAAGAGGAGGGGCTCTGGGAGAC